TGCCTTAGGAGAGAAAAATAAAAAGAGATAAGAGAGGTGGGCAGAGTTGGAGCCATGGGAGAGCTCCTCAGAGTTTAAGTCAGGTTCTGTAGGAAAAAACCTTTCTAACTGTTAACATACTTAGGTTTTACTACAAAATTATATTACTGGGGAAGTGAGGAAGAGGGTGGGTAGGGAGGAGTAAGGTACTATGATTTGGGACAAAGATCTAATTTAACTTTAGCAGCACCTACAGTTTGGACCACTAGGCTTTAGCCAAAGTACCTCCCACTCACCTCATCAAAGATGAAATATGTAGGAAGAAATAATCAACAGCCTAATGTTGAGTTAGCCGACTTAAGTATAAAGCCACAATGGATGTGTCAGAAGGCTACTAGGATATTGTTTATTTAAATCTATTTCACAGAATTGAGTACCACCTTAATGACCTGAAAGTGTTAAAGTATGTCCCAAAGTGCCTAAATTACTCCCTAAATGTAATTTATGCTTGAGAATAATCTGACTAACTTGATTTAGAACAGCAGGAAGTAAGTTATGCTACACATAAATGAATCAGCAGTGTAATTTTAAATACTGCTTGCATAGTGAATAAGAATTTTAATATTTGCAAAATTTTAAAATCACTTGATTTATTATCCATATGTTTATACTGCCATTTTTGTCCTTTATTTAGTTGGTTTTACATTTCCTCTTACTGCCAGGGAAAAAAGCAACAACATTTTTTCCCTAGTAATAACGTAGAGGGTAACACTTATATTTATTTTCCTGAATGGTATTTTTAATATCTCTATGTATTTGTAGGTCTTACTGCCTTTTTCCTCAATCCTGGACAGTCCAATTAATGGAGTAAGAGGAGTTTAGGGAGCCTAGTGACTGATTAGAGATTAAACTTATAAATGTAACATTGTAAAACTAGCAAAATTTATATCTATTCATTCAGAATTTCTTTGGTGGGAAAGAGTCTAAGTTTCAAAGCAGTCATGATAAAAAATGAAATTTTACATAGTAAATTCAAGAATAGATTTAGACTTTGCTGTTAACAACGCATAGTAAAATGCTGAAAAGTATATTCTAAAATTTTATGCGATGCTTGAAATGGAGTTTAAAATATTATTACTCACATTAAATGCCATCACATGTAAAGTGCATGCTTTTATTCTTTAATATTTTGTTTGAATAGAATTACTCATTTTAACATTAATTTTAATAATAAAATTAAATCAACTTTACAGTTTTCAAAGTTTTAGCACTTGCAGTCTATAATGAATATTCTAGATTTAGATATTTACAAAGTTACAGTGTAAGTAGTTCAAACCAAGTCTCTTTTTTTTTTAAGATTTTATTTATTTTTATTTGAGAGAGAGAGAATGAGAGAGAGGGAGTACATGAGAGGGGGGAGGGCCAGAGGGAGAAGCAGACTCCCCGCCGAGCAGGGAGCCTGATGCGGGACTCGATCCAGGGACTCCAGGATCATGACCTGAGCCGAAGGCAGTCGCTTAACCAACTGAGCCACCCAGGCGCCCCCAAACCAAGTCTTTTAATGCAAAAGTTTGCTTTGCAGGAGTTGGGGAAAAGGGAGCAAGAGGGCAAGAAGGCATTTCAAGAATATGGAACTAATGTGCGAAGTCACATAGCTCTGAGACAGTAGCAGGGCATGGGGAACCACAGATAGTCCTGTGTGGCTGACAAGTCCATCCTGTCTCATTTTTGTGGGCCTGGAACAAGGATGAAAAATAGAGAGCCCGGGACTATAGCATGTTTCCCTTTTCTTCCCACCTCCAGCTGTGTCTTGCAGAGCTAGGGGTGCCATGATTAATTGTAGGAGCCCTTATGGTTTTCTTCTTTAGGGGAATTTAGAGGAAAGATAATCTGTGAAGAGGAACAGGGGTTGGTTGGGGAGGAAGGAGGCTTTGTGGAATCTAGTGGAAGGTGGTAACTGCCAGTGCTCTGAATGCTGGAGGGACACATCTGTGCAGCAGCCTGGAATGAAGAGTTGGCATTTACAGCACAAATGTTGGAAAAACAGTCACCTGCCAGTAGCTGAAAAGAGTTGGCAAGAGAATAATTCTGGTGGTGGGATAAGGGAGAAGAAAAGCAAAGTAAGAAGGGGACCAATGACTGCTACAAAGGTGGAGGAATGGTAAATGGTGACCAAATGCCAATTCTTCTGTGTTCTGGTTAGCTTCTGCCTGTTTCTCAAACTGTGGTAGCAGCAAGAGAGTTGGAGGTAGTAGTCATTAATGTGTGAAACTGCCTTTTAAAATTACTTTCAAGTTACTGTATTTTTTCTGAATATCAAAGTATGAAATGCACATTGTAGAAAAACTTTACAACATAGAAAAATATAATGAAAATTGAAATCAACTGTAGTCTCACCAAGATGGAAAAATACCAACTATGCCTCATCATTTTTTAGCTTCTCACTTAACAAATATTTTGACTCGTGATGTGAGTCACTATGAGACATATGCAATGTACAGTTTTCTTTTAAAGGGGATAAATTCTGGGGCACCTGAGTGGCTCAGGTGGTTCTCAGAGTCTAGAGATCGAGCCCCACGTTGGGCTCTGCACTCAGCATGGAGTCTGCTGGTCCCTCTCCCTCTCCTCCTCCTCTCTCTCTCTCAAATAAATAAATCTTAAAAATAAAGGGAGTAAATTCTTAAGATGTACTCTTTTTTTTTTTTTTAAAGATTTTATTTGTTTATTTGACAGAGAGAGACAGCGAGAGAGGGAACACAAGCAGGCGGAGTGGGAGAGGGAGAAGCAGGCTTCCCGTTGAGCAGGGAGCCCAATGTGGGGCTCGATCCCAGGACTCTGGGATCATGACCTGAGTCGAAGGCAGATGCTTAACGACTGAGCCACCCAGGCACCCCTCTTAAGATGTATTCTTAAGTCATTTATTGTGTATTATATAGTGCTGAAAATATATGGAAACATAATTATCATTACACCACACAAAATGTTTCCAAGATCATTTTGTGGCTGATGGTTATATCACATTTGATCAACCCTAGAATGCCTTTAATTATTAAAGGCTGAATTCTTATTTTTAAACTATCTATAGTTAAAGACTACCCCTTTTGGCTACCATTGGCTGCCTTTTTTAATGCTACCAAAATACTGTTTTAGGTATTTTTAAAGTAAGAAAGATAGTTGGGGTGCCTGGGTGACACAATTGGTTAGATGTCTGACTCTTGGTTTCAGCTCAGGTCGTGATTTCAGGGCCCTGATCTTAGTGTCATGAGACTGAGACCCACATTGGGCTCCGTGCTCAGTGCGGAGTCTGCTGAAGTTTCTCTCTTCTTCTCCCTCTGCCCCTCCCCCCTCAAATAAATTAAATAAGGAAATCTTTAAAAAAGAAAAATATAGTTAATCATCAAGTGTGGTGTCTGATAAAATGCACTGTAGATGTAGATACATTATTTACAAGATGACAAAGAAGAAGAAAGAAAATCCCAACAACTATATCTTTGAATTATTTAGCTAGTAAGACTTCACCTTGAAAAAAAGGAAATCCTACCAAAGAGCATGGAAGACCGTGAAAGGCACCATTGAAGCCAGAGAGATCTGAGAATCCCCTTTCTGTCATTTTATTCCTGCTTACCTTTTGGCAGACTGCTCAGACTCTCACTTTTCTCCAGTGGAAAATGGGAATAATAATTGTTATGTTGTAGGGGGTGTTGTAGGAGTCCATGAAATAAGTAAAAACACGGAGCCCAGTGCCTGGATCATAGTAACTGTTAAAGAAACGTTAATTCCATTCCTTTCCCACTGAAACAATAGGGAGTTGGGGCATTATTTAAGTTCTAAGATTATTTAAATTTCCTAAATGGAGGTAGAGATCTGAAAAGATGTCGAGATATTCAGAACTATAACCCACTACATCTTAAAAGTAGACCTCAGAGAACTTCCACAGGTTCCTGGACTCTGAGGCAGCCCCACAGCCAGGAATTTTCAGGATGGCTTTTGGTTTAATGCTAGAAAATACCTTTTTGGACAGGCCCTAGGAGACCCAGTAGTTCATGACCCCCTTAAGACTTTGAAACTTACTTTATAGAATGTTTTTCACCTTGACTATACATTAGAGTCACTTGGGTGTTTTTAAAAATACCAGTGTCAGGATCCCACCCGCAAAGATACTGATTTAATTGGTGATTTTTATGTGCAACTGTCTTAAGGTCAACATATAACCCTGGCTCATTTCTGCCTCAGTCACTTCTGTGATCAGAACATGACCAGGTACCTCCCTCTTAATATTCTTTCCATGTGCGATATTAACATAGTACCTTGCACTGAGTTCCTTCAGCATTCCAATTGAAAATATTAGCAGATACAACAAAACAAGAAGATTAAATGAAGACAACACTCATCACCTGGTTTAGACTATATATCAGTTGGTTAAATCTGTTATCCTGGATGCTTGAGGACCTTAATATATAAGCTCTTTTGGATCAAAAGTAATATGGAAATTGAAAGCCTTCATGAGATAATTTGATTTTTTTTGCTTCAAGTTTTTATTTAAATTCTAGTTAGTTAACATATAGGGTAACATTGGCTTCAGGAGTAGAATTTAGTGATTCACCATTTACATTTAACACCTAGTGCAGGTAATTAGATTTTGATCCAAAAAATATGTTGTTATTGAATATCTAGCTTCAAAATACTTAATTTCTTAGATGCTAGTATATATTTTTTAAATTCCTGGAATTTTTTAATTTAAATATGCTCATAGGGAAGAAAATGTTAATACTCCATAATTGTTATTTTTATCTTTGTTTCATTCAAGAAATGTGTTTGATTTTGAAGCAAAAATCGCAGCCTTTTATTTTAATTCATCCTTTTTATCCAGTATCATTTATTTATGTTAATTGAAATTGAAATCTACAAATGTGAGAAACTATCAAAATAATATCCTTCTCCACACAATATAACATATATGCTTTGTCCATGTAATTTGTATAATCCATTTATTTTTCTCGATCCATATTTTTTGCCTCTAGGCGATTTGACAGATCTGTGGAAAAATGGCGGCGGTTTCATTATGATATGAAGATACTCAATCAATGGCTAACCGAGGCAGAACAGTTTCTCAAAAAGACACAAATCCCTGAGAATTGGGAACATGCCAAATACAAATGGTATCTGAAGGTAAGGTTTTAAGATCTCTTTTTTCAAACTGTCTTTGTCTTCGCCACAATATTGCAACTGTTTAACTTCTTTAAGTTCAGGTTGTGAAGGATGATGGAAATTTATAATTCCCGACTTTTGTTGTCATCACTACACATACTAGAACATCATCAGAATACCATGTTGGGAGCCTGTGCTGTGAACTATTTGTGTTAGGGTGAGAGTTAGCCTAGATCTAACTGGTCTATCTGATGAACTGCAAAGTGTAATCAAATCTGTGATACAGGGAAGAATCTTATAGCGCGGTGTCCTGTGTTTTTGCCTTATGTTGAATCCTGTACAGGAGAACTTGTGGTATACTTAACAATAATGCAGTTGCTGGAAATATCCATCATGATAAAATTACAGTTCTCTTTCCCTAGAGACAATTGTGGTGATTTGGCAATATTTCTATATATTCTATTGACAGAATGCCTTCTGAGATAGTCTGGAGGCCAAAACAATGCAGAGTTAATTGGTGGTACTTACTGACTTTTTTATGGTTTGTGTTAATGGAAATGCAACATATGGATTATGACCAGTGTACAGTTTAATTTCAACTTGCTGTGTCTTTTGAGTATGCAGATAAAGATAAATTAGATTTTGGAGGTTATAACTTAGGTTATAAAATATACAGTTAAGGACAGGAAATATTGAGTTTATTATACCAAGTCTAAAGTATTTGGGTAACTTTTTACCTCAAATTGTTCATGTATCAATTTTCAATCAAGCAGATTTGAGTTGTGGCCAATTTTTAATGCCGTAAAATACTGATTAGGACAGATGAAAGCAAAGTAAAAGGTAATTTATTATATGTTCAGACATTTCAAAATGCAGGATTCATAAAAGCAACATCATATTCAACTTTATAGTTCTCTATTCTCATACAATTTCTTGCATAGCAAAAATATGATATTAAGTAAGCATGTAAGCACATACATATAGGTAAGCTGTGTAAACATAATATGAATAATTTTAAAATCTTGTGTAATTATGTGTATATCCATGAAACTTGTATATACATCAGCATTGGCATTGAAGATAGAGGAAATCCATGGCTTTCCAATCTGCCATCATATAGAAAATACATTTTGTAATAGCACTAAAGTAAATTTGGGGCTAATGCAGCATTACTAGGTCTCGAAAATATGTGCCATTAAGCTGTACTTGAGGAGATGTTAAACCTCTTGCCATTTCCAGAGATAACCTACACAAGGTAGTTATACATTTTAATCTGTTTTTTATTATTTAAAAAATATATACTCACTATAAAAAATAAAGCAATGCAGAAGTGTATGTATACTTCCATTCTACTCCTCAGAGAGTGGTTGTTTTAATATGGATTTTGGTACATATTTCAGGTCAGCATCTTTGGGAGGCCCCCTCTGAGATGGAGATTAACATACAGAAGGGTTATTAGGGAGGGCTTTTGGAAATCGAGCAATTGGTTTATGATGTGCCTTGGTATAATTTTCTTCATGTTTCTTGTTCTTGAGGTCTGTTAAGCTTCTTTGAATTATGGGTTTTTAGTTTTCATCAAATTTAGAATTTTTCAGGCATTATTTTTAATGTTGTGTTCTTTTCATTTTCAGTCCTTTTTCTGTGTAATTCGCATTACATGATTTATATTGTCAAATTGACCAATCTAATCTTTTGCAATATCTAATCTGTGGTTAATCCCCTGTAGTGTATATTTGTAACCTTAGACAGTGTTGTTTTGTGTGATTCAACACCTTGTTGAAGTGTGACTTGGGTCTTTTTACATCTTTCATGTCTCTACTCAATTTGTCAATCTTTCCTCTACCTTTTGGAAAATATGGGATACAGTTATAACAACTGGTATAATGTCCTTGTCTATTAATTCTATCATCTGTGTCTCTTTCGGGTCATTTTCAATTAAGTTTTCTCTTCATTATGGGTCTTTTTTTCCTGCTTCTTTGGACAAACGGTAATTTTGACTGGATGCTGAATGTTGTGAATTATAACTTGTTGAGTGCTTGGTATTTTTGTGCTGATAAATATTCTTGACCTTTGTTCTGGGACACAGTTAATTTACTTGGAAGCAACTTGATCTTTTGAGCATCTCTCTTTTAGACTTTGTGAGTTTGAAGTAGAACAGCTAAGTCTAGGGCTAATTTAGCTCCACTACTGAGTCAAAACCCTTCTGAGTATGCTCTCTGATGCCCTGTGAATGATGAGGTTTTCCACAGTGGCTGGCAAGAATAGGCACTATCCCAGCTGTATGTGAGCTCTGGTGGCTGTTACTTTTCATCTTTTTGCATAGTTTTCTCCCTCATCATGTGTAGTTTGCTCACATGTCAGAGCTGATCAGGACTCCACTGAAGCCTGGAAGGGAGTTCTCTGGGGGTCTCTAGTGTTCTCTCCCTGTGTATATTTCTCCTGTTTGGTACTCTGCCCTGTGAACTCTAGCCGTCTTGGCCTCCTGGAAGTCCCAGCTTCATCTCACCCACTCAAAGAGACCTCCTAGTTTTGTGAGGGTTTCTTTATCCTTTGTCGTAGCCTGGAACTCTTTCCAGACAGTAAGTGGCAACAATTATGGAGTCACTTCATTTGTTTCTAATTCCTCAGAGATCAGTATCTTTCATTGTCAGGTATCTAATGTCTTCAAAACCATCATTTCATATATTTTGTCCATTTTCTTCAGTTTTTAGCCAAGAGGCTAAATCTGGTCCCTGTTAACCAACTTGACCAGAAGCGGAAATCCAAGCCAAAGGATTTTGATGCCATTTGATGTTTTAGTACATTTATTTCTGCATTCTCTTGCAACTGTGTGATGCTTGTAAATGTCTTGAGAATGTCTAAAGATCCTCAGTTCTTGACAGTGTGGTTTAGTTGACATTGATAAACATCTTATCAAAACTTTTCCCCTTAATTGAAGAATTTTTTAAAAGACTATTTTATTTAGTCTGGTTTTTACTCAACTTATACATGAAATAAGAAAGGGAATTCTGCTTGTCCAAGGAAAAGTTCTTCTAGCTAAGGAACTGTGAATGATATTGAAAATCCTCTGAACAGTAGAGGTGTTCTTTTTTCCCCTACTGATTAGGAAGCTCCAAAATCATGCACATGCCTATGTGCATACATGCACGCACACACGTACATAAAATGCCCAAGGTTGTCTTCTGTTGTGTTAAGTCTCAGAAAACAGGTCCAGAAGGACACTGTAAGGCACCACCATTATTACTAAGACAAATAGAATCTCTGATAATTTCAGCTATCTTGGCCATAATGATTGTTCATCGAGTAATAACAAATAAGAGAATGAGTTTAAATTTTTGCTAAGAAATTATTTTAGGAAACAGAATGTTGATGGTGCCTGTTAGTAGCAGACAGATTTGTTGGCATGAACCGGTAATGGTTGCTTTGAGGAAAATCAAACCAAGCTGCCCATATACTAAACAGATAGACACAAGGGTACACTGGAATTTAAAGCCTCGTATGTATAATTTTTAGCAAAAATATCATGTATAAATGTGAAATAAAATAAAAAGTATGTACATGTACGCTTTTGTGTATATATATATATATATTTTTTTTTTCTATCAAACTGCATTTTATTTAACTCGTTAGCTTGAAAGAAGATAAATCACTGTCCTACTGACACTTGGTATTGTCATTCAAAATAAAGTGACTGCCAATAACAGATAGATGGTCTGGTTCCATGCAACTCAATAATTTTTTTCTCTGTCCCAAGTTAATGATAAAATTAAATATGTGAATTCACATTTTTCAAGATATTCCAGAAATGTGTCATGCCATGATAGGAAATCTCTTTCTAAAAATTAATTTTTTGCATGAGAATATATCAATTATGCTATATGCCACTAAAAACTCATTTGCTAATACATTCACTCAATTATTCATGCATCTTCTTGTATATTCATTCCACCAGTGGTAACTGAGTGCATATGCAAAGTTTTATCACCCACAAAAATATTGACTTGTCACATTAGGCTCTAATAGAAGTTCAGAAGGTTGGCTAAGAGGTTGGAAGCCACATTCAGAAAGTGTGGGTTCAAATCCTAGCTCTTTGAGCTTAATAGTTGCAGAATCTTAAGAAAGTGTCTTATGTGTCTCCATGCCTCTGCTATCTCGTTTCTTAAATAGGAATAAAAATGAGATGTGCAGGTAGCACTTAGATTTACATTTTTCACAAAATAATTACTCATTAAATGAAAGATCTTATTGTAACTAATCACACTTCATAAGTGATTAGCCTATATTTATAAAAACAAAAATTTATTTGCTGAATTACTGTCCCCAACCATCTGAAATACAGATTGGACAACCTGACAATTTCATTAAACTTATCTTTTTATGAATTATGACATTTTCTCAAAGTACAGCTCTTGGATTAGGAACTGAGGAAAATTCTAGTTCAGCCAAACACATCCTCCTCAGATAGCTGACACTTCTGCCTACTCATTTTAGAACAAGAAGAAATGTTAATGGGAGTTTTCAAAGGGAAAGCTGAGCACCATGAAAGAAAGTTATGAAAATAACATTAACTCATATAGTGACAGAGTGAATTGGTGTGCCAACAAGTACCTTGAGTGAAAATAGGAAAGTGGAAATCATAACGTGTCCTAACATTTAGCTTTACACGTCCTCCTAGAGTAGAAAGCAGTAAGTTTTAAAACATAGACTGTTATTTAATGGGGTTGAAAATTCTTGAGGTTGACAGTAGAAATTATAAAAATTGGGCGCCTGGGTGGCTCAGTTGGTTAAGTGACTGCCTTCGGCTCAGGTCATGATCCCGGGGTCCTGGGATCAAGTCCTGCATCCATCTGGCTCCCTGCTCAGCAGGGAGTCTGCTTCTCCCTCTGACCCTTCCCCTTCCCGTGCTCTCTCTCTTATTCTCTCTCTCTTTCTCTCAAATAAATAAATAAAGTCTTTTTTCTTTTTCTTTTTTTTAATTTAATTTAATTTTATTATGTTATGTTAGTCACCATACAATACAT